AATCATTCCATTTAAAATAATATAATTGCACTAAATTATATGTAAGGTATTTGTTTCTATGGAACTATAATGAAAAGGCCAAACGAAAAAGAAACTATTTATGGATTTTCCTCTACGATTGTTTAACACGATCGTGTCATTCTGTGTGTTTCAGAACTCAGGATTAAGTTTATGAGAGTTACTCAAATTAGTTGAAAGTAGGTTATGATATAAGTTATAGTTAACATAGTATAATTCAAGTTTCAAATTTGGAAAATTCTAGCATTTGGATTTTTGAATTTACTTTTGTCGGCATTCATGCGACATCCAAAAAAATAAAGACAGGAGCGGCTGCGGCAGACGAGAATACATAATTATCTTAATTTGACACAAAAAGAATGTAATAAAATATAATGAATAGTATATGTATTTATTAGTGTTAGTCACGAGACGATATATGTATGGACCGAAAATTTTGGATTGGATTTGGTTGGATTGGATTTCTATGCCACTTTTTCTTTTTGTCATAACTTTCTTCAAAATTAATGAAAATTGATAATTCTTTTTTTGTTTTATTCACAACACTTTAGAAAACTTGCTGATGCCAAATATTAAAAATTAGGTTCACTGTTGGCAAAGATAATCGAGTTTGAACATCTGGAAAATTAAAAAACATTTTTATGGAACTGTTTATTTGATCACAACTTCGTTCAAAATCGTTATTTTATATTTGCCAAATTTATTTTAATTTATCATTAATAGAGCTGCATCTTCATTTACAAGGTAGCCTCAATATTTTGACATGAATTTCTGTCAGCTTTTCTGACAAACAAAAATATATTCTGGGTATAAAATTTATCTAAAAAATTTATTTTATACAAGTTTTTATCAATTTATTAACAAAATAATATATATTAATGACAGTTTAAAACGAAAATATTTGTAAATGAGTGATTTTTTTGAATTCTTGAAAAATTTTGTTGGATAAAATCAAAGTTTAGTAGTTGGTGACTATCAGTTTTATCAACTTCGATTATTTCTCTAATTCATTGTTTTCAGTGGCAAATGTATTATAATAAAGGTAAATAATAAATGCGAAGGTATTGAAAGTAAGGTATGATAAAAGTTAAAGTTTACATAATATAATTCAAGTTTCAAATTTGGAATATTCTAGCTTTTAGAGGTTTCTGGAATCTGAGAAAAAATATTTTTCTTTTGCAAGCTTCAATTTGTTTGTAATTCAAGTCACAACAAATTACAAAATAACAACTTTTTATCAGCTTCGCTGACATCCAAAAATATGTAATTACTTTTTTGGAGGCTATAAGAAGATTTATGTTTAATTGACTTTTACCTCATTTTTAACGTAATAAAATATATTAAATATCAAGCCTGATATTTATAGAGTAATAAATAGAAAAAGTAGCTTTGCTCAGGTGATCCTACAATCTTCTGGCAGACAACTCGTTTGATAAGGAAGACAAACGCGGAACGATTTTAGAAAAATCGAACAGGCAACATTTGTGAATTTACTTAATTTTTTGTCGGCATTTATGCGACATCCAAAAAATTAGGAATGATGACGTGCCAAAACAAAGCTAATAAGTGCATCTAAATTTAAAACAAAAAGAATGTAATAAAATATAATGAATACATATAAATTCTATGCTATGGAACGCCTCACTGACAATTATTTTTTACTGTATTTCTGCATCTAGCCTTCATGAAACCAGTAAGAAATTCTTCACATTTGTTTAGAATTGTGATGCTCTTTTATAAACTTTTGACTTAAATTTAGAAACAGCTGACATATAGAGACAGAAACTAGGAGTTTATTAAACACATGGAGTGGGCTGAATAAGATTTTAAATACCGTATTTACTCTAATTGAATAACTCCTCTATTTGAATGACCCCCCTAATTGAATGACAAATTTCTGGGGTATTGAAAAATAGAATGACTGTCATTCAATTAGAGTAAATACGGTAAATCGTCTTCGTTATTAGGCTTACTTGAAATTTAAATGTTAAAATTTTATGTAGTACATTACAGCTCCTAAACAGGCTTTTTGTCGACAATCTATGCGACATCCAAAAAATTAACGAAGTTCAAACAGAAACTAGGAGTTTAAAATCATATAAATGTTTCATTTTTAAAATAATATAATTGTACTAAATTATATTTAAGGTATTTGACTCGGTGGAACGATTGTGTAAAGGGGCCAATCTTAAAACAACCTATTTATGAATTGTCTTCTACAATTATATAACACGATCGTGTCATTTGTGTTTTTCAGAACTCAAGATTAATTTATGAGAGTTACTCAAATTATTAGAAATATAAAATATCTAATTTAGTCATAGCCTAAAATAATAGTTAAATATAATTCTTAGGGTTATCCGAGCATTAGTTTGTGTATTTTTGGAAGTCGTTTTCTAGCGACAAAAATAGGTATAGAATAGGTAAAGATTTAACTATGTGATTGGAATGAAGATTAGCTCAACTTAGACTAGTTAAATAATCAAGAGCCAAGAAGTTTGTTATGTCCAAGAGTTGTACGAAAGTCGACGTGCAATAATTAACAGTTTATTCAAAGAGAAATAACAATTTGTAGGCGAAGGGATAAAGTTGGAACAGATGAAGGAGATCAGGGACTAGCAGGCTAGTATGATCTAATTAGACTTACGCTAATAGTGGCTTTTGTAGTATATCTTTTACTTTATCCTTAAATTATTTTGGAAATGAAATAAATTTTATGGAGTATTTTAACGTTACAATTTTAAAAAAATAATTAAAAGAGACAAAAACAATCTACAAACCAAAAAGAATTCAATAAATTTTGTTCTGTCCTGCCTGAAACGATTTTAATTTGGTTGAGTAAGGATTTAGTATTGAAATGGAATTTATTTAAAATTTAATATTGGATGTCGTTTTTAAACGAATATAAACAGCATGTATTCTATGACGGAAGATACTCATGTTTCTTGTAGAGTTGGCCGGTATCGGGATCACGACCGGTATCGGGCGGTATTATACCGGTTTTTTTGAATCCCGATACCGATTTTTTTGATACCGACACCGAATGATAAATCCCGATACCGTTTTTGCTGATACCGATACCGAGGCCGGTATCGGTATCGGTATCGGGATTAGCGTCGGATACCGACAAAATACCGATTTTGTAAATATTTTTTAACACCCCTAAGGATTGATTTCTCAATACCGATCCCGAATCGGTACCGGTATCGGTATCACTAACCCAAATCCCGATACCGGTTTCGGTCAATACCGATCCCGAGGTCGGTATCGGTATCGGGATCGGTATCATCATTCCTAAATACCGATACCGATTTTAGGTCGGGATCCCGATACCGGCAAACTCTAGTTTCTTGCTGAGACTAATAATTAAACTTATGTTATTTGATGATATTTTAGTGTAAATTTGTACAAGGGGAGTCTTGGTAACTGATATCCGGTCTATTAATCGACACGATGCTCAAATTTTTTCTCAACCCGTACATCTCTTAGTAATGTTTCAGTCTCTATTAAAGAGAGATGTTTGGTTGAGTGGTTAAGTTAATAGGGAAAATAAAGATTAATCCTTGGATTAATCTTTATCAAACATTTTTATCAAAATTTTTCAATAATTATTTATTTTTTAATATTTTTGGTCTTAAATTGTCAATAATATATATTATTGCGTTATAAAAATGTTAAAAATTTTTGTGAAATGAATTTATAATTCGTTATTTTACGGCGCAATTTGTATTTTTGTATGTCAGAAAATCTGACAAAAAGTCATAATTTTCCACAAGTCCTCGTTTTTTAAAGATGCTGCTGTTGAGTTAGGTACACAAAAAATTTTCTCAATATTAATTCTTGTTTATACAAAATTATTTTTGTAAGAAGTTTTGGTTTGAGATAGATAAGTTGCGTTAATATAGCATTGGTTGCACAGTTGAATTTATCTGATGCTAAATATTTTATCTTCTTTTTGAATGTCGGCTAGAAGCTGACAAATTTTCTAGTTATTAACATCTTAACAAATTATAGCTTGAAGAATTGGTAATCTAAACTTGAGCCCAAAGAATCCCACACATTTAAAAGTCAAAAAAACGTAATAATAGGTCTGCGTGCGAAAATTTTTTTTCAAAATTAAAAAAATATTTTTGTAATGAAGCACTATAAAGCATGATTTAAAAAATTCAATTTTTAAAAGCGGAAGCGGAAGAAAAGTAAAATTTTATTCATACTCAATATCGTGTTGTTAAATATTGTGAGATCTGCGACAGGCTAAATTTTGAGTTTCTTTTTTGTGATAACGATTATTAGGAGAGGGAGGGAATATGAGGGATATCAAAGATTAAGGGAGATATCGAGGATTATGTTGTTCTAAGATAGTTTGGAGATATTGATGGATTTGAAAAGTCGCAACTCGAACCAGAAATTAAAACCAGAGATTAAAATATCTAATTAAAATTCATTTAATTTTTTATCGATTATGAAAATTTTTTTAAATATTTTAACCAAAAAATTAAATTCTCTTGTGATTCTATGTATTTAAAAAATTATAATTTGTTTAACTGCTAAGGTTAAATTTTAGTCAAGTAAAATACTAGAATCTTTAGTTTTATTAACTTTAGAAACGTGGAGATTTGTCTCTTTCATTAGAAAGGTGGAAGGACGTGGTTGAAGTATAGAAGCAATGGAAGGATGAAAGGAAGTCGTCTCTTTCCTTCTCTCTCTATAATAAATTAAAAATCTTTAAAAAATTCTCCATCAAAAATTTAATTTTGAATAAACCTTTGAAGTGTTACTTAAATAAAATTGCATTATCTATCGCCCACTAACAAGTTTCAAGCGATATATTATACTTAAGTTTCCAACAAGGTTCAATCTCAATTAAACGCGTAAGCTTCTACCAACCTTTATTTTATTTGTGTAGCTGGAATTTTTTAAAATTTCTTTCCGCATAAATAGAGGGATGGGAGACAGATTTTTATTACATTTCAAAGTGAATAATGCTTCTTCGTTTCAACATCTTCCTGTTGGCAGCTCTATGCCTTGCATTCAATGGAATCTATGGATGGGTAAAAAATTTATTTTTTGTGTAAGAGGGGTCTGAAAGTGTCGGTCCGCAAAAGTTGGCCTTCCCCTAAAATGTCAAAGCATTGCTTAGACCCTACCACAGTTTATGGAGGTATTAGTTATAGCTCGGCAATTATGTCGGATCTAATTTTAATATAATTATAACTTGATTAAGACAAATTCTCACAATATAAAAAAATAATAAAATTTTTTTAAAAATTTCCAGGGAGATGATTTCTTCAATAATGAAGGAGGTGTAGTTAATCTTGACCAATTCGAAGCAAATGAACAAAATAGAGAATTGGAAAAGAAGAAGGGTGAAGAAAAAAATAAGGAGAATTCTGAAAAGCGGGAAGAGTATAACAAAGGTAATTAATATATTTTTTGAAAATTATTAACGAAAATTTCTAAAAAATATTAGATGGTTCTCACGTTATTGGAGAGAAAGTTAACAAAGAATCTAATAAAAAATTGGAAGAAGTCAAAATGAGTGAAAGTAAAAAAAGCATACGCGGATCAAAACTTGCGGCGATGAAAAATTCAAAGAGTAGCGAGAGTCATGGTAAGAAAATCAATCAAGATAAACAGAGATCGGACCTTAGGATTGATATACTAAGTGAGATCTAGAGGAATCTCGAAAACTTAGATTTTTGAGTTTGATCCTCTCTGTCCGATCTCAAAGACTCTCAAATAGAATGAAATTTATTTTTAGAACATCCCGAGCCTCAACCTGAAATACATCCCAAGCCTCATCATGAAGAACATCCCGAGCCTCATCCTGAAGAACACCCTGAGCCTCATCATGAAGAACACCGTGAGCCTCATCCGGAAGAACGCCCATGCTCTGACAAGCCTTCTGTTCCTTCGAAAGAGAAGCCTATTCCAGAACGTAATTGAATTTTCAATATATTGTTTAAAATTTGATTTCTAAAGATCCAAGACGCCGTACTTTGACTCCAGAGCTTCCTTTGGATGGTCCAATTGGAGAACAGTTGCTTCCAAAACGTAATATTTTAATTATAAAGTTGATATTTCAAAGGGGAGCATAATATTGGCTATAGTTCAAAATGAAGATCTATTTTTAACTTGAGAGAGCATCCCTTGCATAAACTATTTACAGATATTCGTCAACTATTCAAATGAATATCCAGTGTTGGAGCCTTAGGATTTCACCATTTACCATTCCAATATAGAGATTTTTATAGCTAGATTCGTCCTTAATAATAATTTTTAAAATAATTTTAGACCCAGAGCTTCCATCAGATGCCCTTCATCTCAAAAGCCTCAGATTCCACTTCCGGTTGATAATAAATACCCAGCTGGCCCTTTAGAGATTGAAGATGCTCCATCATCAGTTAAGCCGCCTCTTCCTCCAGTCAATAATAAATATCCATCTCCACCTGAAGATATTGATGATGACGATAGTACATCTCCAAAGCCTCTTCCAAAACCTCTTCCAGCTCCAATTGATAACAAATACCCAGAAGGCCCTGAAGAGATTGAAGATGCTCCATCATCCAAAAAGCCTCTTCCAGTTCCAATTGACAACAAATATCCATCTGGACCTAAAGAGATTGAAGAAGCTCCATCGTCCAAGAAACCTCTTCCAGCTCCAATTGATAACAAATACCCATCTGGACCAAAGATAGAAGGAGCTTCAAGTGTGCCTCCACCACCTGCCAAGGGAAAGAAATGCAACTTATGGCAGAAAATTAAGAAGTTGGCTGGAAGAAAAGTTAACTGCTACTAAATCTAAAGGAAGTAATGAAAAAATGAACTAAAAATAAAGAAATTGAATAAATAATGGGAAAGATAAATGTATTTAAATTGATATTAATTTTAAACTTAAAGAGCAATAATTAATAAAATTTTTGGGAAAATTAAACAAGGTATTAAGTAATTGATGAGTTTGGAGTTATGGATCACATATCTTGTTACTCTGTTTTATATCGAGTTAAATTTCGAATAGGTGCCGGTACTTTTCGGTTCTGCCACACCCCTCCCATATATTCGAAGGTTATATTTTATATTTTTCCTTCATACGTACAGAATGGTCAAACTCCCTCCTTTCTAGGGGAAATTGATTGAAGGGGAAACTGAGTAAAAAATAATCTTTTCTTTATTAATGTCTCTCATTGAACATGCCACAGGGCTACAAAAAAGAAATCTAACACAAATACTATAACTAAGAGTGATATGAGATCAGTTAGTCATTCCCTTGTTTTCCAAAAAATTTAAACTACTAATCAATTATGGCTGCTAGTAAAAATATTAATAAAAAAAGAATTCTTACAAATAATATTGAAAGTCCATGGTCTAAAATTTAAAGAAATTTCACCTGATCAGCTTTTTAAAATTGTTGTAATGGTATCTGAGCTTTCAAAACCCACAATTGAAAACCCACGATATTCACTGAATTTATAAAAGATAATACTTCTGATTACAATATAAATATAAATTTAACCAGCAATAATAATAATACTTTTGGGGGCAACAACCTTCTTTTGCTACTGGCATAATCCCTTTCCGAAAATATTGACATATACGGCTGAATATCCTGAGATAATGCTTTAAAAATCCACAACAGCGGTTGTTGAAAGAATCCTTTTTGTTAATGAGAAAGAAACAAACAAATCATTGATAAGATAATTGGTAAATGTAATTTAACTGATAAACTAGACATTCATAATCCTACTTTCCGTCATATAACTAAATTTTCAAACAAAACACCACTAGGCCCCAACTTATTAAAATAACTTTTATAGACAGTATATCTCGTAATTCATTTTCAGACAATTTCTTACTATTATTCACAGCATGTCCAGCATTCCTAACAATGAATTTGCTCGTAGAGACCTTAACCCGATCGAATTGCTTTCTACTCTCTTAATAATTCATGTGGCTTTTACAAATATGTAATCTCCATTTGAATATCATAGTACTTAAACATCCTTATCCCCTAAAGACCATAAATACACAATAGTGATACGCGAACACAGTAGATTAAAAAGATTTAATTAAAAATGATATTATTACAATAAAGTATTTAAGGATATTTATAATAACGTACATATCTGATTGATGAAGGGCATATTCAAATTCAAAAATTTTGAGAACAAAGCCAAACTAAAGGAAAATGTATTCTAAAACGCTATACTTATTAGTGTTATTCAAACGCGTTTCTTCGGTATCGGTATTTTCGGTAAAATACCGATACTTTAACCCGATCAAATTACTTGAGATAGCATTGATTGCGACCTCTTGACAGGTCGGTATTTTCGGTAAAATACCGATACCGAAAAAATACCGATTTTTTAAAAATTGTTCGGTACCGTATTCGGTATCGGTATTTCGGTAAAAATACCGCGGTATTACCGAAAAATACCGCCGTAATACGGTACCGTGAATAGCACTAATACTTACTTATATGTAAAGGCTAATTTTTATAACTAAAGGTGTAACCCGAAATTGAGATAGCATTGATTGCGACATCTTGGCAGTTATTGCTAGGCCTTTCGCTCACCATGTACAGTTGCTATACCAACACAGCTACCGGGACGCTGCTTTCACCTTCACTTTTAATTTATCTTAAACCCCAGCCTAGTGAGCGTTTTAAATGATAGCAAGCTGGATCTCTCTTTCTTACACTAGTATGTCCCCCGACCAGCCTAACTTAATTAACCGGAATTGAGATAAATTTGTCATTATGTGCTATCTGAAAGAAAAGCTATTTCAACCCCTTTTTAAATATCTCACTAAGTCCATCCATATATGTCCGGCTCCCTCAGGCCATTGTATAAATACGGGGCAAACCTAAGATGTACTGGGCAGTGATCATCGTAAATATTAGAATTTCTATAACCACATCAAATCATAAAAGAGTTATAATTAATTCATAAATAAAATAAAAAATCGAATAAAATCTTCGGGTAAAATAAATTACGAGAATGATATTTTTAGAAAATTCTTTTTTTAGGATTGTGATGTTGGAAATTTTAAATATTTATTTAAATTATCATGTGAATTTATTTTTAGTTAGAGGCAATTTTCTATTTTAGAATTTAATAATAATTTTCAATTGATTATTAGCTGAATCCCACGTGTATTAATTTTTACATTGAAGTAAATTTTTATTTTAAAATTTTTAAATTAATCTTTAGCCGTTTGCCTTGCCATGTAATAAGCCAAAAATAAATTTAAAAATTATAAAAAAAATTAAAATTCATTGCGTCAAACAAAATCCCCAACATTAAATTATAAAATAATACAAACTCCAACAAATCGTTGGCAAATTTTTTATTTAAAATTTATTTGAACAGCTTGAAATTTTAAATAATTTCCTTTGAATAAATAGGGGGATGGAATAAGCGATATTCAGAAAATTTGATTTTATTTTTTAATAATGTTTATTCGTTTTGAATTTGTCTTTTTGGCAACGTTGGGCCTTGCATCCAGTGGAATCTTTGGATGGGTAAAAAATATTTTTTATTAAAAATCTAATAAAATTCAATCAAAAATAGAGTTTTATCAGAGAATTAAAACCATATCTCATCTTTAAAAATTCTCTAGGAGCTTAAATAGCCTAGTCAGTGATTACGCCTACCTCCACCCAAATGACTATCCAAATTTTAAAACATATTTGAAATGGGGGATATCTAGTATTGGGTTTATCATATAGTCAGATCAGACTGTATAAGACAATAATAAATATAATCATAACTTATAGATAGGTCTGATTTTGGTGTTTAGTATAATTTTTGGTTCATGGTTTATTAATCGTTTAAAATATTCACTCTACCCTTAACATTAATAAATTGAAATATTAACAGGATTTGGAGGGATTTGACGTTTTTGGTGCTGAGGAGGAGAATTCGATCAAGGAAAACAAGCGTGGCGGTCAAAAGAAAACAGAAAATGCGAAAAATGTTGATGCTTATCATACAGGTATTAGATTTTTGAATCGAAACCGATTGAAATAAAATTTGTGAAAATCATGCCCATCCATGATTTTAACTCTTATAATTCTAAATAAATTTTTCAGACGGTTCTGAATTACACACAAAAGATCGTCAAGATAACGTAAAAACAAATGTTGAACAAAACAAGGACAGTGAAAGCGTGAAACATTTGAAAGGAGCTGGGGGCATGAAAATGAACTTTGGTGAAGGCGATGATGATGGACAGGGTAAGTAGATGAACAATTTTTAGAAATTTTTTTTAAAAATTTCAGAATTTGAATTTCTTGGTGTAGGCGGTATTCAGGCAAACGAAAAGGATTCGATCAAAGAAAACAAGCGTGCCAATCAAGAAAAATCGGAAAATGCAAAGAATGTTGATATTTATAATCAAAGTAATGACTTAATATCAAATTTACATCCTTTAGAGAGAGTGATAGATATTTAGTGGCGAGATAGAAGAGATGTTGTATCCTTAATTGCGGAAAGAATATACCAGTAAAATAAAAGAAAATACCTAGTTGAGAATGGGAACATGGTATTCGTTTATGCTCCGAGTGAGCTCATTATACGATATTTTATTTCATCTTCAATACACTGAGGATTTAATAACACGACTATGATATAATTACTTTTGGAATTTTTAATAATATTTTCATACAAATTTAGATGGTTCTGAATTACACACTAAAGACCGTAATGATGAAATTGATACAAATATCGAAGAAAATAAGGACAGTCAAAGCGTTAAACACATTAAAGGAGCCGGCGCTATTCAAATAAAACCTAAGGACAATAATGAAGATGGTATGTTAATTGACTCCCTCCAAGAAATTTTAAAACTTGTTTAGAAAAGCCTCAATACAAACTTGATGTTCCTCAATATCGCACACACCCTCCTAAAGTTCCTTCTGCCGGACCTTCCTCTGATGAACCTTCTGTTCCTCCTGCCGGTCCACCATCTGAAAATGATGAGCCAAATCCTGAAGATCGTAAGGAAGTCTCTGATCATTAAAATTAAATAAATTTTAGAACCCGATTTGGTTCATGTTATCGGATTTGAAGGTAAAGAAAAAGTCTCCAAGAAGAAGAATAAAAAGTTGAATAAGAAGGAAAAAGAAAATGCTAAGAATATTGATATATACAATAAAGGTATTTCTCAAGATTATTTTACTTCTGGAATATTTCTAAAATTTAGATGGCTCTGAATTACACACTAAAGATCGTCATGATGAAAGTAACACAAACTTTGAAGAAAATAGTGATAGTCATAGTGTTAAAAACCTGAGAGGGGCAAGCCTTACTAAAATGAACCTCCCTGATGGTAATGGGAATGAAGGTATATTTAAATTTTTAATCTTGCTAGGGGGTTGGTTTCTGTTATTAGTCGAAGAGACATTAAAGCAGACTTGGTATTGGGCATGGATTTTGATATACGTATCCGGATATTTCCAGAGGATACTGAAAGATATCCGCAGGAATTTTGAAATTATTTGTATCTATATTCGTATCCATTAACTATAAAATATATGTAAGCAATATGGGATAACCCAAGGTTAATGGGACGCAAGAATAGAACTAACAAGAGTGACTATCTGAAATCTAACAAAGGAATGACTAACACAGACCTTCTATAGCCTTATGATTTATACTATAGAGAGTACACCAAAAATTGTTGCCTTTATATTACTTCCGAATATTACTTTCAAGTCCAAAAATTTTTAAAATTACAGAACCATGCGATGATGAGCCTTCTACTGATTCACCATCTGGTCCACCTTCCGGCAACGAAGAACCACGTCAGCATAATATTCCTCGAACTCCTCGTCCTACCCGTGGTCCCCGTGCTTCTCGCACTCCTCGTGTCCGTCAACCAGAGCAAGAAAATCCTGTGACTGATTGCTCGACGGATCAACCAGAGACTTCAACTCGCGGGTCTGGCAAAGAATGCACTTTGTTGCAAAAACTTGCAAAACGTCTCGGTAGAAAGGTTAACTGCTAAGTTGAAGTGGAATGCAAGAAGGAATGGAAGAATGGATTTATAAAAATGGGATGAATAAAATTATATAATTAAATTAACTAAATCTAAAGTAACTTTATATTTTAATTTCGGCTTTATTTAAATAAAACTATGGGTAAAATTTGAGATTTATATCGTCAATAATGTTTTCGACATGAAGTTGTATCCCGAACGGTCGGGCCAGATGAGCAAAAAGCTTCTTAACGAGGTAGGGATTTTAATTAAAAAAATTTATAAAGATTTTTCAGTCTATTTTCGTTAATTTATTCAAAAATAAGCGGAGTTCAGGCGTAAAAAAGGTTGTAAGAAAACATAGAGGATTAGGGTATTTAAAAAGATTAAAACGTATATCTTCGTATACAAAGGGTTAGTAGTGATTAAACATGGTTTCAAGTGGGATAACGATTAAAGTGTTATTGAAAGTTTTTGTTTACTTTAGTAATTTAATTTGACAGTAACTGCTTGAATGGTAAGGCACTAAGATAACATATTAAGCCAAGAAAATGATGGCAAGATTGCAGGGATTGCTTAGATAGTAAATCGACAGGAATGCTGACATAGAGGATGACATGAGAGCTAAGAGACAATAATAGTAAGCCAGTAAGTGGGCAAGAAAGCATGCGACAGGAATATGCTAGGCTCATGTGACAATATGTCAGGAGATTCCCCCTTATATTACTTTGATGACTAGATGAAAGGGAAATATATAATGTATGATGAAAGGGAATGCTTGACCTGGAGATGAGAGAAATGTCTACCAATAAAGGATAGGGATAGACCATGAAACTGGATTTAAGTCATTGGATTATTCTATTTGGGCATTTCTGGAGCAAAAAGTATGCCGAATCCGATACGCAACATCGGAGGAACTAATGTTGTTTTGGAGCGAGCCTGGAACGAAATAACCGATGAACAATGCGCGACCATTGTGAGTAACATCCGTAAGTGTTTGGATGCGTGTATTTCGGTCAGGGTCGGTCATTTTGAGAAATTACTTTAATAAAATGAATATTATATCCTATTGATTATATTTTATCATTTTTTAATCTCAAATAAAATTTTTTTACAATAGATTTTATTAAAAACATTTATCGCCGAACTTTTGCCCCACCCTATATAGCTAGGAATCTGATATAGCTATGAATTTGACATTCAACTATATGCATTAAAAACCGAGTTTTAAATTGCTCATTCCAACTTGAAAAGCTCATTTTAAGTTTCTCTGTTAGAGGCATATACGCATACAAGGTTCGCATTTGCATGTTTTTGATATAACTAGTTATTTAACAGCCCAATTATAATTTTAAAGCCCTAGTTTTATTAAATTAAGTTGAATTTTGCTTAAATCGTATCAAAACAACGAGCTTTTTAAAACAAGATGTGAAAGAAAAATGTTAGAGGGAGATGCCTGCAAGTAAATGCCAGGAGTTATTAGGAAATAGAGGAGATATATTTTGACACTTTTTGAGCCAGGGAAATGATGACAAGGTGACAGGGATTGCTTAGCTAGTAAAAGGACAAGAATGTCGACAGAGGAAGAGGACATGGCAAGCAAAGCCAAAAAGACATTTAATAGTAATTTTAAGCCAGGTAGAGGACAGGAAATCTCGCGAAAGGCAGTTGTAAGGATGTGACTATAAGATGTCAGGCGCTTTTTAAAATGCTTGTAAGCAATAAAATGATGGCAAGATAAAAGGAATGCTTAGCTAGTAAAATGTCAAGGAATGCTTAATAAAGAATATCACAGGAATATTAAGCCAAGAAGATAAGCGTAAAGAGCCAGGAGGAGGACAGATTACTGATCGCCAGTATCTATAAATATAGACATGAATCTGGGAAATTATGTGCCTCTTACTTTCATTTCTTTCAAATAAATTCAAGGATTACATGGGGCATTCATTTTTTATAATTTTTAATAATTATTTTTAAAAAAGCGTTAGGAGCTCTATGAGTTTCGAAATAGCCCATAGTAACCTTAGTTGAAAAGCAAGTTTAAAGCCATCGAGAAAAGCGTTAGATCATCAAAAAATAGAAATTATTGTTTCTTAGTAGTGTTGTCGGTTCCCCTAACTTTTCTGTTAACCAACCCAGAAGCGCCGGGTTTGCTGTTCGGTTTGAAACCGACAACAAATTACAAAGCTGTTAGTTAAACTTATTAGTGCTCTGAGAGCAAAAGAGTTCTAATTGTATCAATCTGCGACTATTACGGAAATATTTAAATTAATTTAATTATTTTCAATATGCGAAAGAGGAATTTATTTCAATTTTTTTATTTCTAAATATTTCTATCTGCAAAAAATTTTTTTCGATGCATTCAACTCCTTACCTTCTCTCTCTCTCTTATTTTCCTTAAGTCATCAAATGATAGGTTGACATTTTGGCGCGACTAATAAAGAAACTCTCATCTTAATAAAAATAGTATCATTCTTTCGAACCTAATAAAAACCAATAATATTGGCAAAACACTCCTAAGAACAACATGGTTATATTCTTTTCCTTTTCCAAGTATCTCAGCCAAGGCTTCTCTAGAAACATATAAATCACTCATATAGCCTTTTAAATCACTAACGATAGTACATCATTTTGTCTTGTTGTAAGGCATAAGAACCGTAGTTAAAACTTATTTGACTACTAAAACGAATTTATATGTTACTAAATAAACATTAGAACTAACTGTAAAATTCCCCTAATCTTCATGTCAGTAAAACTGTCAACGTTCTTTGAAATAATATTTAGAATTAGGCTGTACAATTAATTCAAAGTCGATGGGCGTGGAAAAATAACACTTCCCTTCAAACTTTCTGACATCAAAACGCTGGGTCTTTATCATCGAAAATGATACAACCTAAAAATAGACACGGAATTTTCTTTGCACTGTCCAAGACCTTCATTATCAGTCAAAGCTATTACTAAATACATATTCATTAAAGCAATGTTAAAAATAAAATCTCACGCCATTTTCGATCCACACGGAATGACATTCAACATTTCTTCTGGACTAAGCTCTTGTAATTTGACAGACTCGGCCATCCCACATCAAATTTTACAAAAAAACTAAATTGAGTTCATTAAATATAAACTATCAATTTTAAATTATTAACTATGATGCAATAAATTTTCAAGTAATAACTATTAATATTAATTTTAAATATTAACTATTAAATTTCAGTTTTTAACTATTAATATCTATTTCAACTATAAACTTCAATTTTTTCTATTAACTATTAATATCAATTTCAAAATATCGATACTTAATTTATGTCGAAATCCCGATACCGCCCAACCTTATTATAAATTTAAAGTTGATATTTTGTCTTAATTCTTATCAAATAAGAATTTTACAAAATTAATTCTCGAAAAATTTTAAATTTAATCAATTTTCATTCATTATGAAAGCAATCAAGACTCGTGAATGTTAAGCGTGATTTGTTCAAATTATACGTGTACATATCTATCATATTGGCTATTATTCAATATTTAGCCCTTAAATTTATACACTCATTTTTTAAATTTTATTTATAAATTTTTATTGTTTTTCATAAATGCCTTTTTGCCTTATCTTCGGATAATACTGTAGATAGATTTATAAAGCTTTTTCAGTTTGCTTTCTTTATTAGTCGCGCCAAAATGTCACCCTATCATTTGATAAATGAAGGAAAATAAGAGAGAGACGATAAGGAGTTGAATGAAGCGAAAAATAATTTTTTGCATAATGCCTTTTGCGGACATATAGGCCTCGAGCTGGACATTTACCCGTTGAAAATATTTTTTATTATAAATGGCGTTTGGAGTTTCATGACTTTACTGATCAGATTGTGTTATAGATTTGTTCAATTCGGTTTTTTGGAGTTTTGAAATTTATTATTAATAAATTTTGTATAAACTAAATAGGTAATTTTTCATTTTAGATAGAAATGTTAATTTTAATATTTCTTCTTATTTTTGCCGATTTACAAACAGGTATTTTTAATATACAACGGTAGAGATTTGGTGGTTTCATAAATTCCTCGGCTACCCGAATCTTATTTTTACAGTCCGATTTGAATGCTGTTTTCGCGATGAACAAATCGACGGATGGATTTAAATTTAACCTCTTATTTCTATTATCATTGAGATTTCTGGATTAATCTACTAACACATTTTTGAATACCGTTCCAGGAATTACTCCATAAAAGCTTACAAATTACTCAAAAAATTTATTATGTTTTAGCTTTTTCTGTTATAATCAATGGAAATGCTGTTTTGAAAATGGCACAATGCTACATGGATGCATTTTACCAAAAACCTCTGATTCCTCGTAAATTAAAAATTATGAATAAATTATTGCCTTTAAATTTAAGGCGATGATGTTATTCCAATGGAAGAAGCTATGAATCCACATTTGGCTTTTTCTGGAAGCATTGATGATTGCCTTGGTGGTATCAAGAAAATTGTATTGTTTAGATTTATTCTTAGAATTCAAAGCCACTAACTAGAAAAACCTAGCAGCATTTAAGGGGGTTAAAAGATCAGTAGGGAAAATGTGAAAACATATGTGTGTTGACCCGATAGTTAACAGGTCACCCTGTAGAATGAGCATTTTCAGCGTAATCAGAGGTTCGAATCATGTCGTGTGATAAATTGTTTGCTAAACTTTCACTGTTATCATGTCTGTGATGTTGAAAATTTATCGAATGGTTAAAGATGGTTAAAGACATTGCCTAATTAATCTAATTTAACTAATTTTAAAATTAAGGAAAAGTTGCATGATATATTATTTACAAATTCGGGTTTAATACAATGGCGCAACGATTCTCTTGAAAATCTGTCAAATGAATATGCTAAAGACTTTCAAGAATATGAATATATTCTAAACACCGGCGAAACATTGAGAGGATGGATTAACACAAAGGATTTTGATGAAACAAAACAGATAATTGTCAAATGGCGAAAGGAGGAATTCGTTAAGGAACATTGTGGCGATACATATAATCTGATGAATAATGCTGAACCGGAGCAGAAGAAAATTTTGATAAAAAACTGTGTTGATCAATTTCCACGGGCTTACAGAACATGGAATAGGGAGACAAATAAAAAAATTGAAAATTTTAAATATATGAATCTTAATGATATGGACCATAAATACAATAGTTGGCGCCGCAAGCTTAGCCCCTTTTCTTTGCTGCTAAATTCGGCCTATTTGAAATTTGCCGAAAATCTCATTGGAAAACTGATGGCAACGGTAATACCTCAATACAGTTTGACCTTATAACATATAAGATCTGGGTCTTAACGTCAAGAAAATTTAAAGTGTAGCAAGCACTTTACATTTTAAGCACTTTACATTTTCACTAAGCCAGATTTATTATTGGCAAAATCTTGCCGTTGACGAAATCTTATGTCAGACATTCTTATATCATGTTCTACAGTGCTGGAAAAAACTATAGCCGCACTTTTGAAAACTTTATAACTTATGAAGGAGTTACCCAAACAACATCAAATTTTGTTGAAAAATGTAAAAAACAGGTAGGAAAATAATGGTATTTAAATATTCTCAAAATTTTAAAAACAAAACACAAAAATTTTAAAAATTCAAAAATACGCGTAATTTTTACTGGAAAAAACTATAGCCGCACTTGTATTTTCGACCTTAGGAGTGGTCCGAAAAATCTACAAAAATTCCTGTAAACATATCTATTGATATCTTTAGAAAATACAAAAGAAATGAAGTTCTTATATAATTCCTTCATTGAGATCTGAAAACCCGAAAATCAACGGAAAACAGGGGGTAGACGTCTTTAAAAAATATTTTCGACCCCTTACAGGTGAAATTAAAATTTTATTTTAGGCTTATTTGAAAGCCCTTGAAATTTGCTACAAGATAGCGTCAATTTTATTTTCCGAAAAAAATTCACCTTTAAGACATAATGTAATAAACTTTCAGGTCATTAGAATCACTCAAACTCTCCCCAAAAAGCGATAAAAATGTAACATATAAACTAAACTCATTATTTCTCAAAGATGAATTTTTTCTGGATTATGAGATAAAAACCTTCTTGTAGCAAATTTCAAGGGCTTTCAAATAAGCCCAAAATAAAATTTTTATCTTACCTGTAAGGGGTCGAAAATATTTTTTAAAGACGTCTACCCCCTGTTTTCCGTTGATTTTCGGGTTTTCAGATCTCAATGAAGGAATTATATAAGAACTTCATTTCTTTTGTATTTTCTAAAGATATCAATAGATATGTTTACAGGAATTTTTGTAGATTTTTCGGACCACTCCTAAGGTCGAAAATACAAGTGCGGCTATAGTTTTTTCCAGTAAAAATTACGCGTATTTTTGAATTTTTAAAATTTTTGTGTTTTGTTTTTAAAATTTTGAGAATATTTAAATACCATTATTTTCCTACCTGTTTTTTACATTTTTCAACAAAATTTGATGTTGTTTGGGTAACTCCTTCATAAGTTATAAAGTTTTCAAAAGTGCGGCTATAGTTTTTTCCAGCACTGTATATCTACATTTATTTTAAGGCTCTTAATTTACCTTTTAGCTAATCTTTTACGTTTTCCCTTGTTTCTACATTCACTTCTTTTCAAGATTGATCCAAATCGCAATTTGAATAAAATGTTGAAGCACATCAGAACGTTAATCTCCACAAATATTTCAATTGCAAAATATTCCTTTTTAAGGAAGATAGTAAATACTTATGACACATTCGAAGGTCCGTATCAAAATTTAGAAGAGTTGCTGCAAAACGTCAATATTAGTCAATCAGGTATTTTACATTGTTATACATAATAACTTTGCGTGTCATGACTAGGTTGCCGTTTTCGGTTCGAGCCGACATTCGTGCATATTTTTTGAGCTTGGGTTTTATGATTCGTTCGTTTTCGAGTTTTTCGAGCTTAGGTTTTTTCGATTCGGTTCCTTTTCGAGCTGAAAAGTCTTTTTTTCGGGGCGAGTTTCGGGTCGAGCGAGCTGGCAACCCTAGTTATGACCCTTCAAACCCCAACTTTTTTGTTATGGGATTATTGTTGGGGGTTTACTCTAAATCGAGAAAAGGACAACATTAAAATATGTATAACCAAGTGCTGTTAATTCCAATAAAAGTTTATATACTATTTAAATTTTATTTCAATTTAGAGGTAAATAAAAGAAACGTTCCAAAATTTCCAAAAATCAAACGTGTTATCCTTCTTTTTCGCCATGGAGAAAGGCTTGATAATAATAAAGATTTGAAAAAACAGGTTGAAAATAATCCGGGTCAACAATATGAATATAAAGGAAGATACTATAATTTTGACAATTCCCCTTTGAATCAAACTGGTGAAGAAAGAGCAATGGTTCTGAACAAAGTGTAAGTTCAACTTTTAAATTAATAAAGAATTAATGATACTTATAATAATTGTAATAAATATAAGGCAGATATCGGAGGATAATGGGATATCTGCGGATTTGAAGTAATACCCGCGATATTTAAAGATCTGTAGGGATTAATAGATATGGGCTAGAGATATTTCTGAGCAGCGACTTGCCTTGGTCTGAATATTAAGGTTATAAAGGTTCGGCAAACACTGACATTAGCTTTTATACCACCATTTGAGCATTATCACTAAACAAGCGCGACGTACTCTGACATACTTAACTCCAAAACCCTTTAGAATATGCATTAATTTTTTAAATTTCCAGCATTCAAAATTTAAATATAAAATTCCTTCTTGCCGCCTCGTATGACCGAACAATTCAAACAGCTGTGAAAGCCTTGGGAGATAGTCACAAAAATTATGTTCCATCAGAAGAAATTGAAGATGCATACATAATTGAATCGGAATTGAAAATAAAGATTGAACCAGGATTTATTGAGAGCATGAGTGACTGTGTCGACAGAGATGTTGGATATCTCGAGTTTGCTGAATTGAACGAACATTACGAACGCTTAGATAGCGCTTACAAACCTATTTTACAAAGAGATGGATTATGTAGCCTTTACCAAGAGGTATAATTTTATTCCTGATATTTACTGCATTTACTCTTGATATTACGGACACGTAAGCTTCATGATGACAAAGTTTAGTAAATGAAGTGGGCTTTTGCGTTTTGTGATGGTAATATCAATGAGTAATGCGACCGAACTCTTCATCTAGATCCGCCATATATCACTCTAAATCAACCATAATTGAGCGATATTCTTCTTTAATCGTTTAAAATCCCATAATATTCCACAGTAAAGGATTAAGAAAATTAATCGCAATTATGTAATTATAGAAAGAAGCTCGAAAATCAGATATTGGTTGTTCTAAACGTGTGAAATCTGTTTTAAATGCACTTCTAAAACGGGCTGAAAAGGGAAAGATAGTAAATGCATTTGATAACAAAGTTTTACGTCATTATATTGATAATGATCAATATGATAATGAATGGATACTACCTGGAGAAGAAAATGCTGGTAAGCACTTGATTTGATTCAGTAAAAATACCGCTGAACTATCCAAGAAAATTTAATAATTCTTATGTGGGCTTTAACTACATGTCCGTTAGTTAATGAAAAAGATAATATAGAGGCTTAGGTTTCAGTTGCCGCATGCCAGTCTTTCAAAATAAATCTATATGCTTTTTAACAGAAGATCGGGTGAAACCTGATTCAGTTGTTGTAAAACACACAAAACACGTCACCGACTGGGCTTTTCATTTTTGCTTAATTTAATGGGCTTTGAGGCTATATTGCTAGGATAGGCTATATGATAAGTTAAATTATTTTTACTTAGAAAATATTGCAATTTTTACGCATGGATTGGTAATGTCTTCTCTTCAAAATTCAATTGGAGGAGTTTTCACATATTCGCCTCAGGTTTATCGACTTTATCGTGTAGTAAAATCAGTTTAAAATTTATTTTAGACGTCAATTACAAAAATTGTTGAACTTGATCCATCATGGTAGCAATATATTTTTTAACTAAACGCGGAAATCGTTGGTCGCATAAAGTTTTTTTGTTGGTGAAGAAACAGTATTACCGTATAGTGTTAAGACTTCTCGAGTTTTGACTGAATTATATAGGCTTAACTGAATTGTCAAGGCTTGCATTGACACCACTGCGATAATAAGCACTTTCATTTCAAACCTCTAAAATATAAAAATTGAGTTTGATGCTTCTTATATGTATTAGAACAAGCATCACTTTTACTCATAGGAGTAGCTTAAAGCGATTTACATTCATCTTGCCATTGTGGCTAAGATTTGGCCTTGCTAAAACAAAGCAATGCTAGAATGATCTAGATCAACATCTCATTAAAATTTTTTTACTTAGTCCTATTGCACAGCGTTATATAGCTGGTTCAAGCTCGTCAAGCTCTTCAACTGGAGGCAATTATTTGGAAAATCTTCGTTTGCTTTATATGGGTGTTATTGAACATTTTGATCAAATTGATGAGACCTTTTTCCTTCACTAAGCACTTTTTGGCTTAATGATATATGGATAAATTAAAAGTTATAAAAGATTTCTAAAGTAGGTCTGATAAGCATAAGAACTTAAAAAAATTTTGAGCCACATTTTAGATTGGGAGGTTCGTATGGTATCTAAATCATCGTCTCGAAAAATTTCGATTATAGTTAAATTTAAGTTTATTAGGTCTGATTCTCCATACTTGACTAGAGATGTTCCGAAATTTCGAATTTCGATTATTGTTATTCCGAATTTTTCATTATTTATTTTCAGAACATCTCTGTATTAAATTGAAAATTTTAACTTCAAAATATTTATCCATATATCATTTAAGATTTTTATATTCATTTTCGGTATTTTGTGGTATTTTTAAATTCTGGGTTGATTTAAAGTCGATTAAACCCTATCTATATTACTCTTGTATTAAAGTATTTTTACATAACTCTCCTGCAGGAATGGATCGTGATGACGAAAAATATGGGTTGGGTTGAATTTTTAATTTTTTCTTGGATTGGGTTTTGTGTTGAACATAGTCCGATTTCTGATAACACCACCAATGTTTGCTATCAATGTATTGAACTTATTTTCAAGGAAATTCGTTAATCCATCAAAATTGAGAACTCATTATTTAAATCAACTTAGTTCAAAATTTTTTAAAACATTTTTTTTATTTGGGATTGTAAAACGATTACTACAATATAGTAATTTATCTAAACCTAGTTATAGTACTGATCCGTTTCAGGATCATTAACAAAAAATTTTTTTAACTAAAAACACGAATTTGTAGTTTAGCAATTGAATAGTTGAACAAAGAATTTTGGAATTTATAAAAAAATTCTGACTTAAGATAAAATTTTAAATACTATTTTATAAGACTTATTCAACTATTCAATTGATTTTAGTATCGATAAATTTGAAATTGTTTTTTTATTTTATTTTATCAATTTTTCGGATATTAGTATAAAATTATTCTTTCAATTTTACATTCAGAACATTCAATTATATTACTTTTTGAGTTGCAAAATTACATTATAAAGTTGTTTCACCTTATTGCATTCAGTACCTGTGGGACAGCAACCTTAATTATAAGAAATAGTTTAGATAAATTTTGATTTGATTCTCGTATTGAGATTATTTTTGAATTAGTATTACTATTCAAGCCTGTATCAGTCTAGTCTGATCATAATAGCCTTTGCTCATTTGGCTGATACATATTCAATTCCTTCTACATGTAACTTCTAATTTCGATAAACCTTTTTTCACTTGTTGGTTTGGCAAATCTCGCAAGAACTCGGAAAACTAAGGATGATGACATATTTTGTATATTATCCCAGATCAGATTAAAAAAGTTGTTTTAATGTTTATTTCTCCGTTAATGTTTACCGAAGTAATTTCACCTCATTTTATGTTTATGGGCTGATGGGGCCGGGGCTAGTTTTCCGATATCGGTAGCTCGGAAAGCCCTATTTTGGAAGAATCGGGGGTCGATGGATTGCTAATACTATGAAAGGCTATATATGAAGGGCAAATATTAATAATTGCTGGGTATAATTGCTTTAGTATGTATATTCTATATTTTGTTCTTGGCTTATGTGTTAGTTTATTTGGTCTATAAATTCTATGTATGTTCTTTCTCAAACAATATATTCTTATATTACATCACTATAGTTACTAACGTTTATCATTTTTATAGTACTTAGACATGGATTCTCGCACATTACACTAATAATTTAAAATAAGATGATAAATGGAAATTCTACAAATTTAAGGGTTTATTACATACAATAGAAAAAATAATAAATAAAGCATGTATTAATTTGAATTCATAAAAATTTTATAAAATTATCTTTTTGTATTGATTTAAAGTGGAATTTAATGTTAAATTAATCTATAAAAAGTAGAACCCTTTATTTTTGTTAGAATTTTAATTATTTAATTCTACTTGTTTTTTTAGACCCCCAATAAATTAAATTTGTTCAAAGAAAAGAATTATAAAAATTTTATTTATATTTAAAATTAAAGAAGGAGCATTTAATATTTAAGGTGATAATTTTAAGGATAAATAGTTAACGGTTAATTTTTGAGGAAATTATGCCAGTTTAAATAGGGGAAGATTGTATCAGTATTTTAAGGAAGAAAATTTTAAATTTAACAAAGAATTTAAAGGTGAAGATGATACATGGAAATAAAAAGGTTATAGTTTATTTGGAAAAAATATATTTTAAAATTAAAAAGGTCAATTTCGGCTGTTGCCGACATTATCTTTACGATTTTAATATAATTATTCAAATATGTTTTAGTATTTCCCTTCAAAAAATTATCAATTATATTAAATTTATCTTCAATTCATCTAAAAATTTTCAATTCTATCTAATGCCCAAAAATTAATACAATGTTGCTGCCACCATTAACGCTGATTCGATTAGAACCGCGAACATCTTCAATATGCATCTAAAAAATTTTAGTTGCTTTTCTTTTTATAAAGCTAATTACTATAATTTTTAAATTTACTCAAAAGTAACGGCTTTTATTTACAAAAAGAAAACCTGTCACAATAATTTGAACCTTTTTTTCTAAAAATAGAACCGTATACTTATCGCCTTAAACTCATGAGCTTATCATTTAATGTATAAAATTTTAATAGAACAAGAGCCATATCATTGTTAGATTTGTCTATCACTTAAGTTTTAGTGTCTTATGGCGTGCCGACGAGCACTTTGAAACATTTGGTTCAAGTGCTTAATGTAATATATTCATACTCAATCATTGAGTGCAATCGAATAATATACTATATTGCGGTTTAGAGCTCGGTCTACATAGATTATAAAACCCTGTGATAGGAAAATCACCTCAATATCATTATTTGTTCCAACTATAATCTCTTTTTGAGTTACTTGTAACAAATCTGTATTTTCTTCCTCAAAATTATACTTCATATATTCTTTAGAAATATTAGTTGAAGTGCCATTCAATTTTATTTCAACAGATCTTGCCTTTAAAAAATTTTTAGGGCTCTTAAGATTGAGGGAATCATATCGGATATTATTTCCATTAATTATTAATTCGTTATATTCTCCATTAATTTCCAATTCTTTGGTGCATAGAGCACCGCCATATATGTCTTGTACACAAATTTTATTTGAGAAGACAATGATTTTGAAATTGTTTGTGAAGGATGCTAGAAAACAGTGTTAGATATTTGTGACATTTTGGGTGGACATGTTGGAGATGTGGACTCATCGGTAGTACGATACGGAATACCGACCGATAAAATTTTGAAGTTTATCGGTATTTTTCGGTATTTCCTACCGTTTGACGGTACGGGAAAAATCTAAATACCGATTATTATATTCACAAAAAACAAAAAAGTTAAAATAAAATACCGGAATTTGCCTATCCTTGTGATCCTTCTGACGAGATTCCACACGACGCTGTATCGGATGATGATTCAGAAAGAGTTTCATCAGCCGTTGTGTAATCTAATTCATCTGACGTTGTAGATGATCCTCCAGTGTATTTCGAAGATTCTCCTTCTTCCTGTTTCCAGTGATTATAAGCAAACAATTCCTTATCATAACTGCTCCGTTTTTGCTCATCACCAAGAATTTCATAAGCCTCATTAATTTTCTGTAAAATTTCCAAGGCTTTTGGGTCATTTTTATTTTTGTCCGGATGATGTTTAATGATTAATTTTCTGTAGGCTTTTTTAATTTCTTCTTGAGATGCACTTTGTTGAACGTCTAATGTTTTGTAGTGGTCAGGTATTGACTCAACAAACACTAGTGAAATTAGTAAGACGATGGAATAAATTGAATAATGCATCTGGAATGCAGGGTAATTAAAAGCGTTTTGAGGAAGAAATATATCGGAAATATAGAGAAACGGTTTTGTCATTATTTGATTAAGGTAATTAAGTTAGAAATTAAGGTAATTTAGCAACACAATAAATCCTTCACAATAAACTAAGCGAAAGGAGAACAAAAATTAGTGGAGATTACTTAGAGATACCGTTTATATTTTAAGCATAACTATGATATTCAGAAAACCTTTTAATTGTGAAAGCTTTAAAAAAATTTTTATCAGACTAAAATGATATTAAAATGATGATTTTGCCTTCATTTCACTGATTTAAATATTAATGCAAATGAACCTTGAGCCAGAGCGAGAAAAATCGCTGTCCGGAAACGGATATTACAACATAGCTTTCTTTAGAGGGGTAAATAAGTAAAACAAAGTGCAAGTAAGGATATCTCTTTGATATTAAACAAATTTATGAATATTAAATAAACATATATTTTGTTATTAACAAGGCTGTCAAAGTGCAATATTATGATTACGCAAAATGAGCCATGGTCGAATTATCTTACTTATGACATTATCATATAACTTAAGGTATTGCTGTAAGTAAAAGGACAAGAGCAGAAAATGATGAAATAAGATGTCAGGGAATCTGAGCCAGGGAAATGCGCACCTATGATAATTGATGGGTAAATTAGAGACAGTTAATCACCAATAGAACGGCCTTCGATAAATCGTTGCAGTTTATTGTTTTAAATCCACTCGTCTACATTGTAAGATTTATTCGTCGTAGTGAGTGTTTAACACCTCTTAAAGAGTTAATTATGCATTTTTGCTTTATAATGATAAAATTGGTATTATAATTAAATGGTTGAGGTACTTGATATTCATTTTACTAAAAATGATAGACGGCCTTTCAGAAAGGAATGGTTGCTCATTTAGTCAAAACATGTCCTAATTCTAATGGAAATTTAAAAAATTATTAAATGTTGAATACTAAATTAAGTAAAATTAAATTATGTATGAAAAAATTTCATGGTTTAGATATTAGATTAAATTTTGATATATTTGAAAAATCAAAGGAAAAACATAAAGGGCAAATAGTTGAGAAATTATCGAGACATAAAGAGCTAAAGATAAAAGAAAAAAAGTGCAAATATCTAATAATTAAGAAATGATTACATCATAATTAACTCGCTATTTAAGAGAATAATAATTTATCAAAAAATCATTTTAAAAATAAATAATTAACATAAAATCCTAAAATAAAGTATTACAAATAAAGGATAAAGGATTACAAAAATGGCATTCAGCCATTTGATCCTTTTACTCTCTTTCTTCAATTTTATTGTGAAAATTGAAGCTACCCATTACAAAACCTTGATGGTTGATAAAAATGCTTCGCCAGATGAGATTGACGATGCATTTTATGAAGGGAAAGAGAAAAATCGGAATGCCAAACAGAGCGATAAAGCTTTCATTGAAAATTTGGAAAAATTGTCTGAAGCTTATTCTGTTCTGAGTGATAAAACAAAGAGGGAAGAATATGATAATGAACTTGCTAAAAATAAAGGAAAATCTAAGGTTGGAGAAAGTTCAAATGCTGGAATGCAAAAAGCCGAAGAGACACAAGGTTTATTAAATGTTGCGATCCTTCACCAATTTGGTGGAGGTTCGCATCGTTTAATTGATAAAATAATCATATCACAGGGTCATTTTTTGGCAATGGATTACGTGGATTTGTCTCAGGAATCCGCAATCGATTTTCATTTGGTGGATCAGGATCATCGTCTGACACAAATTCACCAGTTGGCTCAGAATTCCCAACTGGAGAGAATAAACAAGGTATGTAAAACTCTAATAAACGGTTAGTTTGTTTAGTTTACTAAAAATACTTGAGACGGCCCTTCAGAAAAGAATGGCTGCTAATTTATTGAAAAGATGGCCCAAATCTTGGCCAAAAAGAGTATTAAAAATAGTACACTCAAATTCCATAGATTTAATTTTATATGGAGCTGTGTAAAAATCCTAACTCTAGACAAAATCAAAATGTGATAAACACGATTCTCTGTTCAGAACATACCTAAAACCCTCGAATTTGAAGAAACCGACAAAACTATTGTTAGACTCTAAAGTTAAATTCGAGAGCTAGGCGGACTTTGATCAAAAGGCTAAAAATGAAATTCACGTGAATAGGGAAAGGCGGAATTCATACGCTAGGCAATAGGAAGTTGCAAAGTGTAATCAGTGAGAAATATAGAGAAGAAGCTTATAATCCAAAGCAAAATAGGGAAAAGCGCTTCAGTCGGCCTGGACTGTGAGTCACTCTTTTATCAAGTTGAAGAACATTCCAACTGAGCTTATATTATTGATTACGGTCAGCTATATGCTAGATCAAGCGGTATACCGAAACCATTGACCCTACTCAGCTCTTAACACCTCTGGGATTCTAATATCTTCCACCTTCAATTCCTCATTCTTAAATAGGCGGGCCCCTATTTAACTCTATTATTAATTAATATTTATTTATAAAGTTTGGAGCGGAGGATGTGATTTTGTGAAAGTAATCGTATTCAAAGAAGGAATTCGTGTTGAAAGCCCTGAACATTCTACTGAGTTTGTTAAAAATCTGGAAATTAATGGTAATGTAGTAAGGGCAAAAATTCATGGGCACAAGATGAAATCTACAAAAGTTAATGGACATAAAAAGTTAAAAGCAAATGCTATTGAAGTTCGTATTACTGGATGGATTTGTAATATTTCTATCGGTATAAAAGAATATGTATTTGAACAAATCATGTCACGCTTATGGGGTTTCCAAATAAAGGATTCTCTAACAATAAGTGGTGGCATTCAAAATCTCGAGGTAATAAAAAATCTAAATTTATTTTGGGAAAGATAAATGTATTTCTGTACCGTATTTAATATAGAACCTGAAATCTTAAACCGATCTCCTATTTCTTTCAATATCAGAATGTTATTGCTTCCTGATGTGGTCATAGGAAACTAACTTGATATTGAATTCAAGAGCAAAACGATCCTTAATATCTCTGTTATTTTCCTGTCATAACGACAACAATAAAAATATAAGCTTGCAATGTTCACGTTCAAAATCATTCCGGAAATGGCATTTTAAATTCTCAAAACATCAATCGGTTGTTCCCTTTAGGTCCTAAGTAACAATCCAGGCTCAATTTTTAATATTTAGATACATAATGCTCATGTACAGAGTGATAATCATATTGAAATAGCAGAAGGAATTAAAGAGGCTTTCATGTTTGGTCTTGGAAACTCTATTGAAGAGGAAGAGAGTACAAACGATTCAAACGATGTTGAATCACCAACTAATACCAGTCATGGAAGCGATTCTTTTAACTCAGAATCCTCACGAGGCCCAGAATTCCAATTTGGAAGGACTAGCAAAAGTAGGCTAAACTTAAAACTTCATAGAGAATATATCCACCATAGGCTCAGGATTTCTCTCTTTTAAATTATAAATTAGATGAGAAACCTCGAGTTTCGGCCCGGGCTTGGTTAGATTTTGACCTTATACAAAATAATATTTAATTATAAAGGTTGGACTGGAGGATGTGATTTTGTTAAAGTAATCGTATTCAATGACGGAATTCTTGTCGAAAGCCCTAACCATTCTACTGTGTTTGTTAAAAATTTAGAAATTAGTGGTGGTGTTAAAATGGCGATAATAAATGGAAATAACTTAAAGACTACTAAATATTGGTTGAAAACGGAGATATCCATCAATGGAAAAAATGTTCATTATAACGAAGGTGTTACGTACATAAACGGAGTTGAAATTGAGAAGACTGGAGAAAAGATAAAAATAAAAGGCTACCCTACAACTGATCCAATCCTTAACTCATCTAACACTTAACTCATCCACACGGCCAAAAACGCTCAACTCATCCAATCCTCAACTCATCTAATGCTTAACTCATCCACACGCCCAAAAACGCTCAACTCATCCAATCCTTGAAATATCGGCCGGTTGAGTCCCTAGCCGGCTGAGTCCCTGGTCAGTTGAGTCTCAACCGGCCCAAGACTCAACCGGCGGTAATCAACCACTCAAACGGCCGGGACTCAACTGACCAGGGACTTAACCGGCTAGAGACTCAACTGGTCATGGACTCAACTGGTCATCTGGTCATGGACTCAACTGGCCATGGACTCAACTAGCCATGGACTCAACTGGCCATGGACCCTACTTACCAGAGACTCAAACGGCCAGGGACTCAGACGGCGAGAGACTCAATTGGCCGGAGACTCAAACGGCCGGAGACTCAAACGGCCAGAGACTCAAACGGCCAGGGACTCAAACGACTGGTACTCAATAGTCTCGTTCCAAAGGATTGGATGAGTTGAGCGTTTTTGGCCGTGTAGATGAGTTAAGCATTAGATGAGTTGAGGATTGGATGAGTTGAGCGTTTTTGGCCGTGTGGATGAGTTGAGGAATTTTAGCCGTTTAGATGAGTTGAGCGTTTTTGGGCGCGTGGATGAGTTAAGGATTAGATGAGTTGAGCGGGCACGAAATAAAAGGGCGTAACATAGATGTAGCAGGTAATATCAATAAGAGATATGAAAAGATAAAAGGAAGGGCTATTGATGTTCGTGTCGATGATTGGATCAGGAATATTTCTACCTCTACAAAGAAATATGTATTTGACCACATCCAGCCAAATAAACAAATAACCGACATTCTTGAAATAATTCATGGCATTAAAAAGCTCGAGGTATATTGAATCAAAATTATATTTTCGACTAATCTAGTAGTATTTCTGTACAGTTTTTGTCATTGAATAAGACATCTTTACCAGAGGTGGGTCGGAATTTCGATTTCCAATTTCCGATTTCCGACTTTTTAGCCAGTTCCGATTTTCGGCTCTTCCGATTTCCGACCATCCTCTGATCTTTACATAGCTTTCATATTTGCAATAGATTAACATGTCATTCGTGTTGTTCTAATGTGTCAAATAGTGAAGAGATAGTTTCCGGACACAGAGCCAAGATCAATTTATAGCATGTCTTGTTTGCCTCAGAATTATTTCGGATATAATCCTTAAATTCGCAAAACTTTGGTCATTCACTGAAGCCTACTTTTAATATTTAGATGCATATTTCTGATGTACAGGGCAATAGTCATATTGAGATTTTTAATGGTATTGATAAAGCTGAAATGATTGGGGAAGGAAACACTTTTGAAAGGGAGGAGATTACAAACGATTCGAACAAAATTCTTATGACACAACATAACAGTTGGTTCTTGAGTCCTAAATCTGAATTTACAATTGAAGGAAAGCGTATTAATTATCAGAATCCACGAGGAGGAACTGGTATTGTTGGGGCTTTTAACAATTATTAGTTTAAAGAGAAGAAGGCAAATAAAATTTTTTAAAAAAATTAATTCAGAAGAAAAAGAATTCAATGGATTCAATTTGAAAAATATTTTAATTAAAAATTGTAGTAATTTAGTCTAAATAAACGAATTTTATAATTTATTAAAAATTAATTTGTAAGGACTCTAAAGGCCACATATTTCACGCTAAGTAAATCTTTAAAATTTCCTAAATACAAGAGGCTAAATGTGGTCCGTGAATTTCTATCCGCAAAGCTCAGATGAATAAAATTCAGATATGAAAGTTATTGGTCCGCAAGTTGGGCGAACCCTACACGCGAGTCGCGGTACGCAGAAAAATTTAAACTATTCCCTTCTTTTAAGACGTTTATTTAATTAAATAAAGAATGAAAAATCCTGTGACGGGAGGGGGACAGGATCGCTTCAACATTTGGAAGGCGAGACGCAAGGGATATATTTGCGGTTCCTGTTCCCCAAATTTATACTTGACAAAAATGGCGGGATAAAATTTGCAAATATGACATTCATAGCAAGGGTTTGATATTTCATAGTTCCGTTGTTGTTGTTGAAAATCTCCTATTTTATTTTCTCCAATTTCCTCTATTTCTTCTTTTCCATTAGTTATCCCTATATTTAGTATTTTGGCGATAAATTTGGCCCTGGCTATTTTGTTCTTCTCTCATATTAGTAAAATTACTATTTTTATTAGCTCTAATCTCATTAACTTCACCGAGCTTTGCTTTTCTATAATCTCTTGTTCGTGTCTAAACATCATCTTTAAGCGAGTTCGTCAACTATGAAAAGGGCATTTATGTAATCATTAAATTTTATTACATAATAAATAGTGGCCATATTTGAGAGAATAATAATTTTCCAAAAAATAATTTTAAGACATATAAATTAATTTAGATAAAAGCATGAGTTACATATGCTCAAAAACTCGTATGTTTGTTTTTAAAATATTAAACTATGTCTAAAAAGCATGATACCATTAGGTATTAATAATGTATTAAATCAGCCAATAAATCATAAATATTTACCCTATAATTATGAGATCGACAAATCTGCAAATGTTAAAAATATTTTTTCGAAAGAATCAAATTAAAATAAAAAAGTGGTATTATGTGACAATTGGATTTATATTCAGTCTTGAAAGATTTATTCTGTTCAGAACATTCCCAGCATTTTGTGAACGATTTGGTATTGAAATTGACATTGTATGTGTTGTTAGCGGTTTGCCGCAAAATAAATGTTTAAAGCTTTTTTTGAAAGCCTTTTTATAGTCCTTGCTTAAAAGTTTAACTTTATATCAGATAATGGATATAGGCAAAAATTTTGTACAGGTACTAGCCCATTTTTAAATTTAAAAATTTTTACAAACCTAAAAAAATACAAAATAGGCATATTACTTCCAGCTGCTACAACGAACATAAGCAAGGTTGGAACTGTAATAAAACTATCAATATCCACGGCAGAAAATGACAACTTTGGCGTAATCAAAGACCAAATTTGTGTCTGATAAATAAACTATTGATCTTTTTAAATTGGTTTAACAGTTATAATTTATATATAATTATTATATATTATAATTTGAATTATAATTTTTAATTTGGCAAATTATAATTTGGCCAGATTTATAATTTGGCAAAGCTTAAGCCTCGGAAAAATAAATATACTTCTAGCAAGACAAAGAAATTTTGCTTATGATCTAATTAACGACCATATTTTATGAATAATCATGTTACCATTTAGTTTTTAATGTTTTCAAGGCAAATATTATGATCTGGGGTAGTGTTAGCTGTCAACGATTGCGGCATTTTTAATAAGGGGCGCTCAGCATATACTGCGCTCAGCATAATCATTATAATTACATAAGTTAACTCACATTTAATGTCCCGACAAAATTAACAACAATGATAGCAGTCAACGAATTACATAAACGCCTAATATTTGGATTGTGTTCCTTTCTTAAAATTATTAAAATCCACATAGCCACATAACATACGATAGTTAACACATTATAAACATTTGATGTAACATAAGTTTCTTGATAAATTTCTGGTTGGACTAGGTCACCAGATGTGCAAATTACAGGTCTGAAAACGTATTTTTAGATTTTGCTTATAAATATTTCACTTAAGAACCTGTAGCGATAACCTACTCAACGAATTACGTCCTTTGGATAGTTACCATAAAAGTTAGTATTTGTCTAGGTAGAAACTATGTATATACGTTTTATAAATGATTATCTTTTAATGAGGCTAGCCATTTTAACTAGATAATAGTTGTTCTTGATAGACTGCTAGGCTATTAACAAATTTCATACATTTATGACACACATCCAGAATTAATAAACTTTCATAAAATTACCTTTCAGGAAATTCGATCGCCATGTTTACAATTAGCCATGAGGTGCGGGATGTCCTGAGTATAGCCAAAACACCAAGAATAGTAACTGATTTATAGCGATCATTGAATTTGTACCTGTGATTTTTTAGATAAATTGTAAAATTAATTGGAAAATTAAACGGTTTTTTATAAAGTGTCACTCATTTTGTGTTAATGTTAGATACTGGGCTCATATGAAATCAGACAATACAAATTATAAAATGTGATCTATATAATTGATTGTATATTCCAACCTCCTTATTAATCTTGTGTTAAATAAGTTATTCTATTATTTGAGTTATTCTCTTAGTCATTCGTCATACCGCGTCTTATAAATCAACAGCCTCATATCATACACGGTATATTCCTGTATACGGATTTGTAAACCGTTAAGCATTTCGTTAGTCATGTAAATATTATTAAACTAAATCCACATTAGCTAAAGTATTTACCATAAAGGAAAAGCAATACTAAGAAGTCTATCAACTCCAATAAATAATCTAAGCTGGTTAGTAAAAATTGAACATAAAAAGGGTAAAGCTTGAATATAAAAACATGAAAGAAGGTTGATAAAATTAATTCCGAATAGAAGAATAAAGAATTTGATGCTTAATCCCACATTGACTGGTATTGAAAATAATGAGCTTAATGCAATATAAATGTTGATTCGATGATGAAAAGATCTGAAAATTTATTTTTATTTTTTTTTTATTTTTAATGGTCTGATGGTCTAATTTAATGGTTAATTTAATTTATTTAATTAATTTAATTTATTATATTAATTTATTAATTTATTAAATTTATTAATTATTAGTTAATCTAATTTAATGGTCTAACACATATTTCCTTGTCAAAAAATTTTTACAAATATTTCAGGCACCCCATAATTATTTTCGGCTCCCTTATCTCTCATTTTTCGTGATAATTTTTCTAAAATCCAACCCCCCCCCTCCCCCCCAAAATGGGGTACAGGGTTTGCCCGTTTACCTCCGTGCACCTCCACGTGGTGTACCCTGGGCATTGTTGTATAATTATGAAATGTTATACAACAATGGCTAAGCACGGTAAAAAACGGGATGGTTTGAATTATAATAAAGAACTGTAACTATTTCTAGCCGCGCGCGAAGCGCGCC